ATCTATCCATCAAATCATACTTTTACCCATCACATCAAAGGACATTTTTGGAAATTCAATACCAAAATACACTCCCCTTAAATCTCCCTTCAAAATCAAAACTCCCATGTTTTTCGGGACGGGGGGAGTATTAGATATTTATACAAAAATAGTTTTACTAGATTTATTATATCAAATATTATCAAAATATTATTTTATCTAAATAATATACAATATATATTTTATTTAATTATAGGTCAAAGGTTAAAAACAGTTGATACAAAAAGTCAAAACTAGATAAATACTCAGAGACACCGAGGTAGTATTTTATAACATACAAAAATTATATAACGCATATTATAATTTTATTGAATAACAAAAATTTAGAATTTATACAAGCTCGTGCGAAGTACATGATTAATGCTAGTTAGAATATTAAATTAGCATAAATATCAAAATGTTAAATATTCAAAAGTTATTGTGGCTACGCTGCACGTCACTTTATTTATGCAATATTTATCATAAAATAATATATTTGTAATTATACTTTATATATTACAAATTTTGTTTTAAATATCAGACATGTCACATAATGTAATCAAACCTATTTTTCGTTAATGATGGATTTTTTCATTATAACCCTACATTTGGAATAGACATAGAACTGTTTTTTTTATATTTTTTTATGTTTTAATTCTACCGAGGCAAGGAACAACGGAAGATGAGCCCAAGGTGATGTTGTTTGAAGAACAAACTAAAGATGCAATGAAGCAGTTTAGAGATGAAATAGCAGTTAATATTCTACAATGCAGTTAAGCTTAATTAAAGATACTAAGAGCTTATTCTTTTGGACTAGAAAAAAAGAGCTGGATGTTAGAAGAAACTAGAAGGAACTGGACCGTTAGATGGCCTTTTCAAAATACTAACGGTAAAGTCTAATGTTGTTGCCGAACGGCGCGCGCTACATATTAAAAAGAAGTGTTCACACAGAGAAAAATTTGATATAAAGGAGAGAGGAAGTGCAGAGAAAATGACGAGATTAAATGGGGCAAAGTTCATTAATTAGATTGAGTCATAAGACACTCGTGCTAAACCATGTTAAAAGATTAAATCTAATTGGTTAACGAGTTCAACTCAAGAGCTTACCACTATGAATGAACGTCTAGACAGACACCTTGATAAAAAAGGTGGACCAAAATCTACTTCGATACCATGATAAAAATTTATTAGAATGGGATGAAAATTATTGGATTATATCATAAGATACTTGGCGTAAACTATATTAAAAGATTAAATTCAATCGATTAACCAGTTCCATTCAAGAACTTATAAACTTGTTAAATTTTTTTCAATTTTCTAATGTAGGATAGATACTAATACTCCCTCCGTTCTCCAAAACACTACCTCTTTTACTTTATTTCTCTTCCACCAAAATAATTCCATTTCCTGATAAAAAAACACTTTTATCCTTGCTTTTTCTTGCCCTATTCTGGCCTGTTTGGGAATAGCGTTAGCGTTTTGAAAAAACTATTTACGGGCAGCGTTTAGCGTTAGTGTTTTTAAAGTAATCTGCACCGTTAAATTTTTATCCAAAACTCTAACGCTTCTCCCAAATAGGCCCTTAATATCAGATCATAATTTTTCTCTAATAATCTATCCATCACATCAAAAATAAAATTAGAAGTCAACTACAATTTAACCCTTTCTTATTCTGGCACTTGGTCAAAATGGGCAGTATTTTCATTTTTTTCCCAGTGTTACCAGTGCTTTAATATGACCATATGCTTTATGTGGCGAAGCAACTTGAGGTGGAGTGGAGTGGAAACTCGTTAAGTCATTTCAATTCACAATATTCAATCTCGTGTGTCTGTTCTTCCATGGCAAAATATGCTGATTCGATGTTGCACCATTGTGTTCTTCCATGTCAAATTGAAGCTTCATTCGATTTATTATGTTTCATTTGATTTCATGTATGTCCAAAAGTAAGAAATAATACTCCATCTCACAGTGATTTACGTTCTTCATTATTCAAAACTTGCATGAACTTTTGTTTTTTTATGTATTTTTATTGCTTATTTTGATGAAATAAAATAATATAGTTCATCTTGTTTCGTAAATTTTTTTGCCTTTTTTAAATATCTAAGTTTTATTTTTATTAATGTAACCATCTTTAAATAAAATGAATTTAAAAACATGTGATTTTGTTTCGTTTTATGTGAAAATATGACCGCTTTTTTGAAAATAGTTTAGCAAGTGATAATCTAAAAAAAGATGAGTCTCATCTCTGAGGTCCCTCAGACTCGACAGACGATCACTGAAATAGGTAAATTAGAGTTTAATCGCAGATTGGTATTAAAAAGTAGAACTTGCACCTCGTACTTAGAGAAGTTCTATGTCTAGCATAGTTGTCCCCTAGTGTAATTAAGAATCCAACCCGAGTCTTACATCCTAGACACTCATTTCTTTTGCCAATTACGCAACACTTACCAGCTAAAACTTTGGAGGATCGGATAAACTTTTTATACTAGCCAGCCCACTACATTGGAGTCCCACCACAAGAAACCCCAACCCCCGGCTTGGACCTACAGATAAGTAGGCAATGCTTGTCCCTACTCGTTTGGTCATACCCCAACGAGGGCTGAAATTTTTTATAGCATCAGTACTAGTGATAGCTACAAAAACAGAGTCAAAACTCTAAAACCCAAAAATATGTGAAAATTAGTTTTTTTGTTAGTAGGGTCACTCAAAATCCGCAAATTATACCGTACAGCCGGTTGTACCTAATTTTTGGTACAGCCGGCAATTAGATAGGCGCGCCTACGGTTGAGGAGATCGAAAAAGAAAAGATCTAAAATAGATCTGAGATCCGATCGATAATGGGGCGGTGGAGAGTGGAGCTGAAGAGGGCGTACGAGCTTTCTGTAAAAGATCTGAGATGAAACAGATCTGAGATCCCTTCTCCTTCGATTTTTTCTAATAATAGCTGAAGAAGCGTACTATCTGCACTTTGCGATGGGGAGGCTACCCAATGAAAACTCAACTAGTTCTACAGCAAGTACGTGCTCTTGTAATTGCATTGAATAAATGAGTACTATGTTATTTCAGAACGAGCACTGTGTTATTTCAGAATGAGTACTGTGTTATTTAAGAATGAGTACGTATTCCAAAATGAATATTTATATTTGTACAAAAATGAGTACTACTTTACTTCAAAATGAGTACGTTATACCTATCTCTAGGTACATCACCATATACCAACTCCTCGAAATCAAGACCTCTCATCACCGATGAAGAAAAATCTTTAAGATGGGATAACCTAAAATTCTCTGGCTTTGGCAGGCGACGCCATCGTTAGGCTCCGGCCCACACCATTATTCCTTCGACATTAATATCGTCTTCAAAATTTTGACACCATTCACTCTTTGTTGATTTGATCATCCTCCGCAGCACCCAAAAAAAAATCTTTGAATTGATTCTGCTCTGCAATTTCAATTCTGATAGTGCCAGTGTTCAATTTGTTGGCTTCGTTCCCGATCTTCTTTTCAACCACTTCGGGGTGTGTGTTTTTTCTGCAAGAAAAGGTCTGCAGTCTGCGAACCACTACTGTAGACATCTGCAGGAGAAGTGGTGGACCGAAGGTCTGCGGTCTGCAAGAAGAAGACTGTTTGTTTTTTAATGTTTGTAAACTGCTATATAAATTAATGGTGATAGTGTACGGTGGTGGTGTATGGACGATTGTGGTGGTTGTGGAGGGTGGTGGTGAACGTTGACGGCAGTGGTGGTGGACGGTGGTGGTGGTGGTGGTGGCGGTGGTGGTGGACGACGGTGGTGATGGACGGTGACGATGGTGGTGGTGGACGGTGGTAGTGGTGGACGGTGGCGGTGGTGGTTGACGACGGTGGCGGTGATGGTGGACGGTGACGATGATGGGGGTGAAATGTCTTCCAAAAAACAAACAAAAACAAACACCCCCTTATTCTTTTAGTTTACTATCTCTCTCTCAAAATCACTCGTTCTTAATCATCAATTTCTTCTCTTTTTTCTCTCTTGTATAGAACAAAATTAAATAAAACCCAAAGCAAATCAAAACAATCATCGTCGATCTCCAGCATCACTCTGCAGCGACGGATGATAGTATGATAGTTAAAATGTGACAATGAATTGAATGTCATAGTGTCACAATAACAGTGTCAACTCTTACTTCGGTTTTAAAAAAACTTAGAACTCTTATTTTAAAATTTTTATAATTTTTTACTCTTATTTAGCGAGTTCTCCCCTGAACTTAATTAGTTGCTTGTAAGTTAAATACTATTGGATCTAGATAAAATGACTTAAATTATATATAAGTGATTTGGAGATATTTATAATATTTATAGTTAGGGATATTCATAATAGATAAGATATAATTTCGTAAATAATTTGATCAAAATGGAGAAACGAAAAAGTTGACTTAAGAATAAATACGACGTACTTTTTTAAGCATACAAAAACACATCATCAACTGACTTATAAATTAAAAATAGTTTATAAGTAATTTTGATATATAGATAAAAACATACATTATGTAAGAGTGAAATATTTTTTAAAGTATATTCAATAAAAAAACTAGTCTTAATCCGGATTTAAGAGATCTGGTTACATAAACCAATATAACCTAGGTCTTTTTTTTTACAATTTAATAGTCTCCTTTACACCTTCAATCAAGGTAACTTTCGACCAACCCTACCTTTTAAAGTCAATCACACTCCAAACAATATGGTTGCAAGCAAACTCATACTCCCTCCATCAAATTTAAGTTGTTTCTATACTATTAACAAAGTCAAACTTTAATCACTTTCTTTACTTGTTTTTTGTTACTCAAATGATAAAATAATACACGCATGCCACCTTTTATTTTGTAGATCTTTTGATATAATTTTTAAATATATAAAGTTCATTTTTTTAATTTTACCCCAATTTTCATATAAATTAATTTGAAAATAATTTCAGTCGAACAACTTAAAATGAGACAGAGGAAGTACAGAACAATGTCATCAAACAACAAAAGAAGCCACACTAACAAGTAAAAAGTCTCTTCTTTCATGGCTGTTAGGGGGGAGTAGATATTTACCAGTTAGCCCAGTTTCTGCATGAATGTTTCTGTCAATGTGTGCCCATTAACTATTTTTGTAGTCAATACAATCAAATCATATGGCATCCCCTCCTGCACATGCATCAACAAAACACATTGGGAAATAAACCAATATAACTCTACTAAAGCAAAAGTTTCATCTGGTTTAATGAAATAGCAATATAAATTGTTTTATTGAAAAAACACTCATGTCGCGTATAGTAGAAGTTTAACTCATTGAGTGCATAAATAGGGTTAAAAAAAATTAATACATTCTCTATCAAGACTTATAGAGGCTAGAGCCACAACTAATAATATTTCAAAGAAAATGGGTAACACAATGCTATAAATTTTCTATTTATACTTGTATTTATATTATTGAAAACAAGACTATTAAAATTGAAAACGCGTGAATAAAGGCAGAAGAGATTTGGTTTTGATCAATGAAAGAATAAGAAGAGGCTACCTGGGAACTCAGGAATCGAAGAGAATTAATCTCGGAAAAGGTCACCCCACCAATAAAAACAACAAGCACCAAGGACCGCCTTCCATCACCTATTCTGAAATGCCAAGTGTGGCCAAAACAATGATATGGAGTGAGAATTGTATCTTTAGTGTTGCAAATCTGAAGAGAAGAATGACCAAGAACCTGGCCTTAACTCAGATGACAAATAAGGAAATGCAATACATTAACTAAAAATAATAAGGCTCCGTTTCATACACGAAATTCAAGCTATGGAATTGGAATTGGAATTGGGGACTTCAATTCCCTTTTTGTTGTTTGGTAGCACAAAAATATGTGGATTTTGAATTGGTTGTGCAAAAAATGATTTGGAATTGGTACATGCATAAAATATGTACACAAGGTCAGAACATTGCTTGAGCCTTACTTGTTAGAGTAATCTATGGACCCTGGCAGACTGTCAAAGGACGGATTGCTTGCAAACCCACTCTGTAAAGATTCATGCAAATACATTTCGGACTTCTATGTGGTCTTGCTATATACGATAAAAACAATAAGATCAACAATGAATCGAAAAATAAAGGAATGAAGGCTTACCCTCTTGCTATCTGAATGGGGCCCTGGCAGCAATCTTAATATTTCTTCAATGGGACGCCTGTAATATTTATATGCATAATCGATTTACCTTCCTTCTTAGGTATACGTATGACTATAACAAGTATTTGAAGTCATTGTCATCTCATGATACTTTCCATGCAAGAAGAAAAAAAGCTATGATAATGATTAATGAAGCTGATGATTTTGAAATTTCATTTCATTATTCCATCTCATGTTTTTCAAATTTCATCTCATTGTCACTATGCTTTTTTATGAATTCATAAATCATAACATTAAATAATTTAAGGCCATTATAACAACCTACCTCATAGTCTAACAAGTGGGGTTGGCGGGTGGGTGAAAGTAAACCGACCTTACATATTTTTTGATTGAAGAACATGGTAAATTCTATGTCACGTGACGATGACAGTGATGAGGGATTGAGGGGAATAAGGACTGCAACTGAGACTTGTTATAATGAGTCGCAAGCCTATGACACCGGAGTACTGGACTAGAAGGTTCATGCCACATAGCTTTTACCCCCAACTAAATAGGAAAAAGAATGTATATAAATATTGTACAAAAGTACTTCATACATGATTAAATCGGTTCTCCTTCAAGAAAAGTAAATGCCACATACATTAATGGTACAAGCTCATTTTACTTCCCAAATCCCAAGTATGTTCCACGTTCACAAATTACCATCAGTTGTAGACATAAATCATTTGCGTAGATATAAGATCATAGTATAACACCAAAAACATCAACAACAATCCCGGTATAATCCCATCTCCATTGGGTCTGGGGGGAGATGTACGCACCATACCTCTGGAAAAAACAGAGAGGTTGTTTCTGGTAGACCCTTGATGCATTGATGCATTAATGTGTGATTTTGATTTAGTCCATTCTTTACTCAAAGCTAAAACATTGTCCAAATGACTCTTTGCGCTCCATTGACTCAGATATAAGATTATAGTGCAGATTAAAATAACGAAAAATCAATTAACATTCATTCACTACCATTAATTACAAAGTATATACAGCAATATGGTCAATACTATCCAACAGAGCTCTTAAAAAAAGAGTTTACCACCCAGATCGGATGGCATGCTGAACCAGGCGAATGCTGAGAGGTGCATATCCAGAAAAGACATAGGAAATATCTCTGGGGCTGCACTATGCACACAATATTAAGAGTCAGATTCAGATTAAACATCTGAGTACATTATATATAATACAATAGTCAGATTAAAAGCATTATTAGATACAGACACTAACGACTCGTTAAAGACCAGATACATAAGTAACATATGACACATTTTGACCTGTTAATCTTAGCTGAATACATTAATTACCCAATTTTCAGATAACATTCTGCTCTTTCAATGGAAAAACTGTTTTTTCAATGTCTTCCATTCCAAATATGAACATAATTGATTTCCTTATTCCTTCTTGACAAGAAGACAACATGCAAATGCAATATAATTTCAAGGATGAATAAAAGACTCATTAATTTCTTTATTTAGCTTAATTAGTACTATGAGAGGCTGTGTCTATTTTAGTTGAGCCTGTAAGGAAGCAGAATAATAACATACGGCTAAAACCAACAAGTCGTTGGCATTAAATGCAAAGCATATGCGATTATGCGATAACATAAACATTTTCTGAAGTTGGATAAAAGTTGATAAGCAAGAATAGACTTCCCCAAAGAGAAATACATACTTGGCAGCGTCAGTATCCTCAACAATAAGCTGAAGAGCACATTTAATTGTTATCCAGTTGCTTTTTGACTCCTAAGACAAAGACCAAATGCCAAATTCACTATGTTATGGAACTGAGCAATACATCAAATAGAGCAATGTACCAACCATTGTGCAACAAACCTGCTTCCTGAACAATCCCGCCTTTTCCAAATTGTTTAATGTAGCAATGTGCTCAAAACCATAGCTGTGAAGTAGCTCTCGCCTACAAAAGAGAAGACACAGAAATTTGTGAAGTTTTCAATAATATCCAACAATATACGTATTAGAGAAATTTAAAATAGAGTGAGGAAAATGTCATTTATATCCCACTCGCCTTAAGTAGTCATAATTCTTCTTTGGTAATCCAGAATTTGTGATCGAGAATAATATGAGAATGCGTAAAACATTGACAAGAGGTTCCTGTTTATGGATCATCTCTTCAATGTACTCAAAGCATCTGCATCACATGCAGCATTAGATTTCACTTCATCTTCTATTGTTATGCAATGATGCAAGACTAGAATGCTGCAAATGTTTTTAGATGCATTAAACTAAGGTAAAATGATACAGACGACTTAATGAGCGTACAAGGATGCCTCATATTGGTCATCATAATGTCATATATTTCATATTACTCAATTGCTTGTCATGGAAAAGAAAAACTTAGTTCCATTTATTTCAGGAAAAAAAAGATGATCCAGCTTCAGCAACAATAGAGAATGGGGGGTAACTTCCATAACAAAAGATGCAAACTGTAGCAGAAATAAAAGAAAAAGTACTTTGACTACTTTCTTAGAAAATTAGAGAAACTCTAGTAAAGGATAGAGGAAATATAAGGGGAGACACTCTTTATTTTTACGTAAACTAATGAGATAAAAGTGCAGCCATCCATTTCAAGAGTATATTTTATTAGTGACACAAATATGTTGTAAGCTTTATACAGTATTAATACTAGTATTAATTTCCCATTATTAGTATTACCAGTAATAATTTCCTATTAGTAGTATTAGCAATAATCTCATATTCATATTGAGATTCTTTTTATTATATTACTAATATTAATATTGTAATAGTAAGGACTCTCATAATTGCTCACCGAGATTCTTGGGACTGATATAAAACTATAAATGGAGGGGTTCTGTTCAAATGAAGGAAACCTTACTCTCCCGAGGGCAAGTAGTTCTTTATGTTCATAGTTTTCATTCATTGTCTTCTTCTCCCAACCATGTTTGTAACATTGTATACGTTGAAATTTAACTAATTCCTCTACTCTATGTCTTTTCATTTCTCATATCAACATTCATATTTCTAGTAGACATTGTCACAAGATAATGCCCCACCCACACACCAACACACTCATTTGAAGAATTAACTTGTAATAAATAAGATTGAAGTGGTACTCTATCCTTAGCATTGAGCCAATAACTACAGGTAATACTTTTATTAAAAAAATTATAATTTGAGATAACTCATATCTATAATAAAAAAGATCGACTAAAACAGCAACAACAAAATATTACACATCAATGTCCACACTGACAATTTTCAGTAAATATTTAATAATAATCAATTAAAGAATCTATACACATAGTTTAAGAAAACATGAACACCTATAAACCTAAATTTAAAACCCTTTCAAAACTTAGGGCCTTTCAAACCAATAATAAAATAAATTATCCAATTGACTCACATATCGTAACTTTCGGACTCCACAATAGTATGTTCCATATCTAGCCGCCCAAGAAATGAAGGCTTAGATGTAAATTTATTCAAATGCTGAGCAAGATGTATATGCCTCTGGGAATGAGAGAAAAATATTAGTATCCCAAATTTTTTGGGGCAATATTACAAACGGCTGTAACCAAATCCAGAGTATATGAACTTACTGTCATTTCAGGCAATGAGTTGAGTTTTTTAACGAAGTCTTTCAATTCAGAAACAGTTTGGTTCTGCATAAAATTCACAACCAATTAAATGTAAGGTTTGAAGTATACCGTGTTCATTTAAAATTCTCTCTCACACAGTCACTCACTACCGAATACACACAGCATAGGTAAAAACGTATAAGAAATTAATATGGAGTATATTAGTTTATTTGGAGCTGCTAAAATGAGAGTTTTAACGAGTCTGCATCCCAGTCTTCATTTTATGCATAAAAAAGATAAGCCTTCTCTATTATATTCACTTTAAGTGGGCTAATTAACTTGTTGCTGGGACAAAAATGATTACACAAGTATGTTTTTTATTGAAAAAAGTATGCTAATATTTATATATAGTTCTAATTACATATTGAAGCCATAGGCATCTATACATATTTAACAATCACATGGCCTTACAGTTGTTTGCATCTCATTGTAATCTTGTTTCATAGCTGTTGCTCTTTGACGTAAAACCTGCAATTGCACTGTAAATGGCAATTAAAGGACCAAAAACAAAAGAACGAACCGATTATAAAAATTCGGAACAAGGAAAAGGAAACATTATGAAGATGACATGGAAAAAGAGGTCCAAAAGCCTAAATTTTTTAAAACAGAGCTGAAATGACAGATCAACCTGACCAACAACTTCGAAGTTCTGATCCCGTATCTCTTTGAATAGTTTGTCACTGCAAGGACATACTAGATCAGCGAGCCCAAGAGGTAACTATGTGTTATGCACGGCTAAGCATATTTGGGGGTAAAAGTCATGAGTGAAACTTGCAAGCCTAAACTTTATTATTGACAATACTCACAGAGTTCATACAATAAAGAAGTTCTAAGAGCTAAAAATGCGTGTTAGAGCTCAAAAAAATTAGTAAAGCCAGTTTCATCCCTGGGAAGCTTATAATATTATCATAATACAGATTAAAGATAATACTTCTCTATCAATTAACGATTGGAAGAAAAATGACCTAGAATTTAGAGGAACCTTCATTTTCTTCCCCTCTTGCTGGGCACCCATTATAGAAGAATCTACCTCCACAGCACCATTATTGATACCAAGAAACTGTGTGACACCAATAAAATATATACAGCATCTATGATTCACTTTAACACGTGAGAATAGTACTGCATAGTAATTACAAAAATAGCTTTTTACCTCATCCATTAGCCCTTCATATGTTAACTGGGAACACATAGGTGTAACCATGTCCACCTGCAGCAGGGTTTGAGTTTTAGATTTCTTTTAACAAGATTTTCAATCCATGCCTTATATAGGACACCTATCAATCCTCTCTGGACATCATTCCCTCACATTGCATGTATATACAACTTTTTAAAAAATAAAAGGAAGCGTGCTCAAATTTTCAGGGTTGCAGGCAATAAAGTGAAAACAAGAATTTTCTTTAAAGGGAGTGAATACCTCTCTGTCAATGAGGATGAGAGTGTTAATATCTGGCACAACAACCTGCATGTGAATAAATTCCAAAAAGAATGAGGCACTCAGTTTTGATGTATTTTGAAAGGCACAATGTTTTATATACATCGGTGATGTTCACTGGTTCTTCATCTTGCATCCTATCTAAAATGTCAGCAACACGGACAGATGCTTTCCCTTTGGCTCTCACATTTGGTATTACACCAAAGGAACACTGCATTTTTCAATTAAGACATCAATTGAAAGAGTGAATGGAAGTGCTTTTGCAGAACCTACTTTTCCTGATGTTTATCTTCATCAATGTTTATATGCCAAAGGCTGATAAAGTTCTGAAAGAAAAACCTCAAGCTTGTGAATGGCTTTTGCTATATGCCAAAGAGAGGTTGAGTCTCCATCAACTGTGAATTCCTATCCGGAAAAATGCAACTACCTTTATATGTATGTCTTAAAATCATAAAATGTTGTGAAACATCAAGCAAAACAAGGACCAGACATACTCTGTATGCCGTATCGAGTTCAAAAGACAAAACATCTTCATCCAGAGGAAGTAGATACAAGGGATACTCGCCTATCGTCAATAAGTGATGGACTTTCTCTTCCTCGAGTACCTATGTTGCATGCAACTTCAGAGACAAACTAAGCAAAGATCTGATCCTCTCAAGCATAAAACCATTTCGTGTAGGATGAGGGAGCAAACCTTCTCACATACAACTGCACGGTGAGGAACAAAATACAAAAAATACTCTCTTTGAATCCCCTTGGAAGCATCATTATGAATGTCTGAGCAAATACTCTTCATCAAGCCAAGCTGAGCTCGAACGAGATAAACAATTTTAGTACAGTCTGTCTGGATTGGGTCACTTGTAAGGTGCCGCAATTCAGCCCCGAGCTCCTGTTTAAGGTTTCCGACAATCAAGCTTCAAATTAACAATATAGCAAACCCATCTTTTATAGTCCATTTGCTCTTCAACACATAACATTCTCTCAACACTTCAATTTCAAATAAATGAGAAACAAAAAGTGGCAGGTTGAGATAAAGAATGATGCCTTGAGTATTGAGCTCTGCACAATAAGTGAGAGGGAACCACTGAGCTTAGGATCAATAACTAAACACTTCTGCCCTCGAATCTGCAATTTTTCAAAAGAAAAAGCAACACTTTGAAAGAAAAATTCCAAAATTGAGACATATTCATTGAGCACTACAAGAAACTGACAGGAAATCACAAATCAGGCAATACATCAGTGTAAAGCAGCACAAATGAGTCCATGAGAAATAAAAAAAAATTGGTAAAAAAAACTTACGTTCTTCAAAATCATCATGAGCTCCTTCTGCGATTGGTCTCTGTTAACCAACAGAGCAACAATTTTTCACCAATATCATCGCAGATGTGCAGAAAGGAAGTGGAATTTGAAGATTTAAAATAATAATAATAATAGGAATGCGATATATATTCACCTTATGGAGGTGAGGTTTATTGGAGCATTGTCAAGATTGGGAATTTGCGCCATTTTTTTCCCGTCTCCTTCCTTCTCTATTCTCAGCTGTCGTGCAAACCTTCTGTGCCCAGCGAGTGTAGATCACCAGGCAAAGCCACAAAAACAAAGTCATAAACAATCTTGGAAGTAAACATAAGAAGCATGAGAACGTCTAGATACACTAAATATTAATTTTGAATCAATAAAATATTCATTTTGAATCAACATAATGTTCATTTTTATATATTTACTCGTAATAATTATAATATTCATTTACGAACAATATAGTTTTCGTACAAAAATAATGTAGTGTGCATTTCAAGCTTGTTTAGCATTATGTTTATTCTAATATAATGCAATGTTCATTTCAAGCATGTTCAATTTAGTATTCATTCTGGAACAACGTATTTTCATTCTGAACCAGCATATTGTTCATTTCTGCCGTCGTTGTCGTTGGTAGTTTGCTCAATGACAACAGCGCCACAATTATGTCATTCCGTTTGCCTGAATTTTGGCAACTTGCCATCAACTTTTGATAGCGATAGATCTTATTGATGGTTGAATCTGGGGTCGAGGAATATCACCAGTGGCAATACTGAGCTCCTTGTGCTCGCGTCTTTCCAATCGCCAAAATTGGATCTCTTGCAGAGGCATCCCAAGTCTCGTAAATTGACTCGAGAGTGACTATGTCGGAGTGCGGTTGCGGAAGGATACCAATGGAATAATTGTTGGGAAAATGTGGAGGTTAGAAGGGGCCAGGGGGCGATGCTCAAGAGGCATGCCTTGATCGTAAATGCTATTTGAAAATTAGAGCGAGCCATATCAAGAGCCGATTGTGCCCAATTTTGTGTACAACTGTTGTATAATAGAGCTCGAGAGAAACATTGTGGAGATAAGATAGAATAAAAAAATGTTTGCAATCTCACTTCCAGACCAATTGTGAATGTGCAATCTCTCTCTCTCAAAATTCTTTTTTTCTCTCAAATTTTCTCTTTTTTATAATTTTTTATTCTATTGCGGTATCTGTAAATCCTCAATTAGGGATAGTTTTAAAATCATTAATTTTACAAACGAAACGCGGTAGGTGTTAATGTATTTGTAAGGCCACTGTCACTTGATCCTTATCATGTGAGGGTGATTAATTTGTGAGTAAGCAATTTTTGCAAGAGATGCGAATAAAAATACCTTATATCTGCTTTCCCGTGATGGTGTTCAATATACAAAATGGTGGTGGAAAAAGCAGAAAGAAATACTTTCTATCTTATAAATAGATTTGTCATTGGACTTGATATATACACTTTAAAAAGTTAAATACGACTAAAATATACTTAGGGGCTGTTTGGTAACTTCTGAATGGGTAAGTGCTGAACCAGTAAGAGGTCTGAATCATTAAGTGCTGAACCAGTAAGAGGTCTGAACCATTAAGAGCTAGTATATTGTTTAACTATTCAGAGACAAATGTCTGATCAATTCAGATAAGAGCTCTTAACCATTCAGACTCTGTATAATACTTAACCATTCAGAGGCAAATCTCTTAACCATTCAGACATCTGAACCATTAAGAGGCTGAAACAAACAGTCTGAACCATTAAGTGCTGAATCATTCAGACATCTAAACCATTAAGAGGCTGAAACAAACCGCCCCTAAATATATTAAAATAGATGACTAATAGGGTGCACAGTATGGGTGTAGAAAATTCAATTTGGTAACAATTTGACAAAGGGGGCAACTTCGTCCCTCTTCTTTTGGTACCAAGCAAAATTGGTGAGTGAGTCTACGTACTACGTAGTACTAAAGATACCACATCTCTCTCTCCACATTAATCATTTGTATTTAATTTAAAAAAAAGTTTCAATTAATGATTATGGCCTATATATACAAACACAACATATATATTTTTCTCACTTTCTTAGAATTCTAATCTTTACTTTCGAAAAAAAGTAAATGGGTCTATTTTTATATGTTATTTTATATTTTGTTTTGTAATGTTTTATGTTACTCGATTCATATTTCTTATTCGTATTGTAATATCATATTTGTTTAATGAGTGTCATCTTATTATTAGTACACTAATTTTTATTTTGGTTTCTATTTTTAAGTAATTTTACATTGATTTGCAAATTATAAAATTAATTTATGTTACGGTAAGTCTAAAATGGCACCAATGCTACTGGTGTCATTTGCTTACATCAGTTCATTTGGAGTACCTACGGTGCTCCGTTTGTAAAAACGACGGTTTCTACCCACCTAACCCTCCACTTAAACCCCCCAGCCCTACCCTTGCCCCCCACCCCAGCCCCCCCTCCCGCCCCCCCTCCCTACCCTGGCAATACACTGCCAGGTAGTGTACTGCCAAGGTAGGGAGGGGGGCTGGGGTGGGGGTTTAGGGGGAGGGTTAGGGGGTAGGAACCGTCATTTTTACAAACGGAGCAGCGTAGGTACTCCAAACGAACTGGTGTAAGTAACTGGTGTATAAGTAACTAGTGTCATTTTAGATGCTCCCTTTATGTTATTAGTTTAATTCTAATTGTTTCTTCTAAAAAAAAGTAAATAGAATTGTTTTTGTATTTTATGTTCTATTTAAGTATTGTAATGTTTTATGGTATTTCCTAAGTGTTATCTTATTTTTAATAATTTTATGTTGGTTTCTATTTTTAAAATAATTTTTACATTGTTCGTAGATTTTAAAATTAATTATATTATTAGTTTAAGTTAATTACTTAAAAAATGATTGTAGTAAGTTGGTAAATTGACGTATGCATACTGCCAGTAATAGTATGAAAAGTATGAAATTAGTAGAATCTGATGTGACGTTATATGGATGAAAGAGGTAATGCAGTAAAAAAAAAGTGTGGAAATTATGCATACCTTCCACCCTCATTTTTACAACAATTTTTACAACAATGTGTTTGAAACTCCTGCAATGGTTCATTCATAAAATTGATTGTTCGATCCTAACGCACCCCAAGCCTACACCCCCACCAATTAATCCACTTTTTATTTTTGTAAAAAATGTGACTACAGACTCAACAAGATCAAAGATGATGTAATTGGAGGAGTGCACGGGTGCTTTAGCGACCGACCGAGCTTGGGGTTTATCAGAAAGTAGTAACAATCAATTTTGCGAACATAGTACTATAAGTGTCCGAATCACGTTGTTGTAAAAGAATATGTTGTAAGATTAAGGGACCTCATAAAAATATAACTATCCATGTTTTTATATTAAATAAGATTTACAATACTAATCCCTCAAGAAAATATTTACAACACTAATAATATCAACATAAATACCCAAAAATACCGCGAAATACCAATTTACAATGCCAGATTCTGTAAATTGTTCCAATACAACAGTCCAATTTTAGGGGGGGGGAAATGAAGTAGAAGTCTTTTAAGTATAACTTCAATATTTTAGTTTTATTTAGGTAAATTTTTGAGTGATGTTTAGTGATAACCCTTCCTTAACTATATTGAGTAAAATCATTAAAAATATGTTTGAGAATAACATTTTGAATTACTATTTTGTTTGTGAACCTAGCATTGCTCCAAAATAAATATCTCACATACTTACTTTCCTAATAAAGGAAAAAATATATAGTCCACAATTCTTCTCTTTCATCTAATCAAATTTCAACCACTCACTTTTAAATTTTCAACATTTTTTTAACTATGTAAAATTAAACTAAACACTCTCACTTTAGAAATGAAAAAGATTAAGCTAGGAGTAAAATATAAAAAATATCATTATAAGACCTAAATGTATTTATCTCAAAAAAATGACTTACAAATCCAATAATGTCAATATATAATACCAAAAATCAATAAAAAAAAAAGTCACTCCTAATGGGAGTAAAACATACTCCATCTGCCCCTAAATCATTTACTTTTTACGGAAAACGAAATAGAATCTTAAGTTTTTCAATTTATTTTATTCAAAGATTGGTATAAAAATAAAAAATAAAATTTGCATATTAAAAAAGTACATCAAAAGTTTTACAAAACAAGAGGTGACAAGAATATCTTATTTTAGTCAACAAATACACACAAATAAACAAAAATTCCTGTACTTTTTGAATAGTAAAGCGTGTAAATCATTTAGGGACGGAGAAAGTATCGTTTATCTTCAAAATACGAGTTTCATGTTTTTATCTCTAGAATATGAGTTTGTACTTAGTTGCACATCACTGTATTTTTTATGTATTATATATTGATATTATTGACATTGTAACTTCTTTTATAGATATAAAAAATATGGAAATTCTATTTTGGTACCTTCTTCATATTTTACTCATAATTTAGTCATTTTTTCAAAATAATATGAAATAGTACAAATATACAATGTCAAATTATCATAATGCGAGAATTTTATTTTGGGTATAGAAACATAAATTTTCTATTTCAGACATATAGTTCTCAAATTATAGCCTACATGCGATTGCACGGGAAGAACCATACAGACAACGAAAATTAGCAGAGCCGCACAATCCGACAAGAAACGAAGAGAGGAGTGATGGCGAACGCTAATTGCTTCGATTGGAGAACGAAGGAGCACGTTGGTGGCAAATTCTAGTTGCATCAATGGGAGAAGGAAGGGAACACTGCAGAAGAAACCTGGTAGAGATTGATCGTGGATGAAGATGAAGATGGTGAGCCCTAATTTGCGGAAGATGAAGATGCCTTGGTCGAGATTGATCGTGGATGAAACTTTTGGATTATATTTTCTAACTTTAAAGGAAAGAAACTCTTCCTTATTTGAGAATGAACACTACGTAATTTGAGAATGAACAATGCTTTATTTTAGAATGAACATTATGTTATTCGTGATTGAATAATATACTTGTATTGAACAAATGTGTGAAAATGAGTACTGCATTAATCCGGAATGAGTACTACATTATTTTAAAATGAACATCTATATTTTATGTGAGAATGAGTACTACTTTATTTCAAAACGAGTACTACCCTGCTGTACTTTATTTCTAGTATAGTCACGTGTACCATATACAGACTCCATATATAGTTTATGTTTTAGACTTTTAATCCTAACAAGATAGATGTCTTAATATATCATTCAACTTGCGTGGAGGCTATAATCTCATTCAACTTGTGTTGAGGCGGGATTTCGTACTTATTTCTTACTGATGCTCCATATTTTGCATGATTGTCTTTCATCACAGTCACCAAATTTTGAACTCGAAAATTCTCCTTAAACCATTCTTATGTCAACCCTTAAGCCTCGCCAGCATTATATAACTATTTCTTGTTAAGGTAGACTCTAAACCAATTGCAAAGAGGCACTACAACTTTTCAAATAATACACGACAATTCATTAATTTGAGCTTTATTCGATAAATGATTAAACTTATACGAGATTACGGGGCTGTTTGGCAACTTCTGAATCGGTAAGTGCTGAACCAGTAAGATGTCTGAACCATTAAGTGCTGAACCAGTAAGAGGTCTGAACCATTAAGAGCTAATATATTGCTTAACTATTTAGAGGCAAATGTCTGATCAATTCAGATAAGAGGTCTTAACCATTCAGACTCTGTATAATACTTAACCATTCAGACATCTGAACCATTAAAAGGCTGAAACAAACAGTCTGAACCATTAAGTGCTGAACCATTCAGACTTCTGAACGATAGGCGGAAACAAACCGCCCCTACGAGTAGTAAAAGATTTAAAGGTGATAGTAAACGAAAAAGGACAATGGCCGGCTGGAGGGCCCTGGAATCTCTGGGATTTGCCCTATGCCTCTTTCTCTTCCACTACCACCCACCCACTCGCTCATCAGCTCCATAGTGCCAAACTCCGTGTAAAAGACCCACCCTTTACTGCAACAGTCATCACTATACACACAGTTGGGTGAGAAGAAGAAGAAAGAAAGAAAGAAATACTCCATGGAAATGGGTGGCTGGAGCTCAAAAAGACGCAAATGGATGTCTGCTACAGTGTTTCTGCTCATAGCTGCCTTTGCTTCTGCCCAAATCCAGGACGGTATGCTTCTCTTCTCATCACTGCCCATTTTATCCATCTTTTATTTTTATTAATTGGGTATTTTTATTTGTTTGCTTGTTTGGGATCTGCTTGAATTTCTGTTTTATAAAGCGGAATAGTTTCTATTTATCTAATAAATTGAGATTCTTTCAGCATTATGAAATAACCAAAGTGTTGCTCTTGATGTTCTTGGATGATGAATACCCAGCTGTGGTTTGTGAATAGGCTTTGGTTATGATTATTATAGTCTTCCCTCAGTTCTAATATGTCAAACCTACTAGAAAGAGTTGCAGAAGATGGTTTTGTTATAGTTTAAGATTTCTTTTGTCCTACAACTATTAGTTTGAGCTTTTGGTTGAGTTGATTTTAAAATGGGTTTTTAAACCTTGTTGATAGAAGGCCATGAGTTTGAATCTCACTGTCAAGCTCCAACTTGTTCTCTACCCTTCAACACAAAACATGGATTGGTTGATTTTAGTATTTTACTCCCTTTTGAACTTGATATACCTTGTACTATCCCAGCTGAAACCTAGGGTCTTAGGCTTATAAAACAAGCTTATAGTAGAGCACCAAAAATAGCATCATTTTCACCATCAGATCTATCCAATGGTTTCAAGATCTTCGGTTTTATTCTTAAACACATAAAATGTTTCAGTTAGACCCTTGATGCATTTACCGCCCAAGACTTTAAAGAAAGTACGGACCAAGGGAAATTGAATGTCCATTGGCAATGGAGTTAAAAGAATCATTTTTGACAATTTATTTTAGCTTCAGGTGAATAAAGAACTAAATCAAAATGACACCTAGACGTCCATCGCTTCTTACTTTCAAAGAAGTTTTGAGTAGTATATGCCTATATGGAAGAATACATCAAAGGGTATAACAGAAATAGTCTCTCTGTTTTTACAAAAAGGCTACACATATTTTAACTTTTTGATGACTTTGAACCAACATTTTATCTTGCCTCTCCATTTTCTTTTCTAGCATTTTTGAAGTCCCAAACAGACCCTTCGAGATCATGAAAAAATTGGTTCAAACATTTAAAAGGGTTGGTACAACACTGGGTCCCCTATGGTAGCATTCTGATGTGTATTCTTGATTTTGCCTAAAGCTGTGATGGGGCAAATATGTGCTGCAATGAATTTGAGTTAATTCTATGCAGGGCCCACAAAGGAGGAAACATGAATTTGACATTCTATCTTCCAAGATCTTGTTACCTCCTTTATTCTCATTTTTTAAGCAGTAAAACTTAGATTTTTACTGCTTCAGATCAGGCAATTTGCTGCTAGTTCAAAACTGCATTAATTTTTACCAAAAAAAGAGTAGATGGATGTGATATTTATTGCTCTCTGTCTGTGATGACTTTCCTCACTGCTCACTTTGGGAAACATTTGCAAATGGGATCTGAAAGCCAGTCAAAATGAACTCCAAATAATTTTGTAATGCTGAGTGCTTGTTTGGTAGACGGTGTGTCAGCTAATTTTTTTTCCAGGTTCAGCGTTTAGCTGTAGTCTTTTGAAAAGGCCATCTAATGACACTGTTTAGCTTTAGCATTTCCAAAATGCCAACCAAAAACATTTCATTTAGTTGTTTGACTAAAGTCATTTCATGGTGTTTGGTGGACAACTGTTTAGCACATGTTACTATTGTATGTATCCCTCACAGGTTTACTAAGCAATGGTGATTTTGAGGCGCTCCCACCCGGGGGCTTCCCTTCGGATGATCTCGGGTTCTCGGATGAACCCACCAACATACCCGAGTGGAGAGCCAATGGAACAGTTGAGCTCGTCGAGTCTGGGCAAAAACAAGGCGGGATGATTCTCATCGTGCCACAAGGCCGACATGCGGTGAGGCTTGGGAATGACGCTGAAATAAGTCAACAGGTCAAAGTCGAGAAGGGCGCAATCTATTCCATCACTTTCAGCGCGGCCCGCACTTGCGCCCAGCTTGAGTCGCTCAATGTGTCCGTTCCCCCAGCATCACAAACCATAGATCTGCAGACTCTTTACAGCGTGCAAGGATGGGATACTTACGCGTGGGCGTTCCAGTCTGGAGACGAGAATGCGAGGGTTGTTTTCACCAATCCTGGCATGGAGGATGATCCAACCTGTGGTCCTATCATTGATGACATTGCTATGAAGAAGCTTTTCATGCCCAATAAGCCCAAAGGTGGTAATAAAAAGTATTTCCACTTAGAATCATTCATGTTCATTATTCAGCAATCCACCATTCATGCTATCAAGGTTATGATAGAAAACCTTTCATGTGCTTACAACTACGAGCTTGAACTTTTGGTGAAGTTCCTTGACAGTATATCGCTAGAGTAAATTTTTTTCTAGACACCAAATTACTAGCTTGAGTTTTCGGTTGAGTTGGTTCATTAATATGGTACCGAAGTGTTGTGAGGGGCAATGTTAGAGTATAGACAATTTGTCTTGAACTCCCACAAACACCCCAGTTCCCATGACATTGGCTTCAATTAAGGCATCTATGGTGCCTGGTAAAATTTAAAAGTTCATCAATTGCACACTCCAAATATTGTGGACTTTTTGATAAAAAAAATTGACTCAAAAGTCAACTTAATTTGGAAAGTATAGTTCAAAGGGGTAGGGAGTGGGTTTGGGTCGGGCCGGGAGGGGTTTACCAGGGGTTAGGTGGAATAAGAACCATCAATCGAGCAGGTGTCTCAATTGGGGGCCAATGTCATCCCATGACACAAACTCAATATCATATTGACCTTTTGGATTTGATGCAGGTAATCCGGTATTGAACGGGGATTTTGAATCAGGCCCGTGGATGATGAGAAACGAGTCTTTGGGCGTTCTTCTCTCCACTAACCTGGAGGAACAAGCGTCGCCGTTGCCCGGATGGATTGTGGAATCGAATCGGGCAGTCCGATACATAGACTCGGACCACTTCAGTGTTCCGGGAGGGAAACGGGCAATCGAGCTGTTATCCGGGAAAGAAGGGATAATATCCCAGACGGTGGAGACCAAGCCAAACAGGGCATACCGGATGACGTTCTCCCTAGGGCACGCCGGGGACAAATGCAAGCCGCCGCTGGCGGTGATGGCCTTCGCCGGAGACCAAGCGGAGAACATCCACTATACTCCCAACGCCAATTCCACTTTCCAGGCAGCGGATGTCAATTTCACCGCCAAAGCCGAGCAGACGCGGATCGCGTTCTACAGCATCTACTACAACACGAGAACCGACGACATGACGTCACTCTGTGGGCCGGTCATAGATGACGTGAAGGTCGAGCGGTCCAAGTCCGGCATGGTGAATCAGCCCGGAGGCATTCGGTTGTTGCTGGTTTTCGGTTTTGGGTTCGGTTTCGGACTGGCTTTGGCCATGGGTTAGTGGCAGTAAAGCCATAATAGCCAATGTGTAGGGCTGTATGTGATCTTTGTGATGAAATTTTTCATGGTCATTCAAAAAAAATGTAGGAATGAAAAAAAGCCACCTCCAAATGGCCAAAATTAAGTAAATTTGGGACTGTAGTAAGTAATCAGTGGTTTACAATATCCCAATGCCCCTAAGATTTTGTGTGGAGAAATTAAAGCAAATCTACATAATGTATTGTATGATATTTGATATGATATGGTATTGTAATGATTATTATGATCATATTAGAAAGTTAGTATGATATTACACGGTATATAAAATTGTTTTGGATTAGTTTGAATGTAACCTTAGTTTGCTATTCTATCCCTACTCTATACAAAAACAGCTTGAATACTTAAACAATTAAACATAGAAAAGTCTCAGTGTGCCAGAGAGTTACAAGGTAAGAATCATTGATTTTGTGAACGAATCAATGTCATTGTAAAGCAATGTCACTTACGATTTGTGAGCGATTAGCTCCAAGTAAAATGATTTTCACGTGAAAGTTAATGCATCATTTATATGCTTTTTCAAAATAGTGTTATGAAATTGAACTCTTAAGGGCACAAAATGATAGTGGAAAATGGAAGTTGGCATGCGAAAGAGATTAAAAATGACAACCACCAAGATAGAAACTGAACTCTTAAGAGCATTGCACTACCAAATATCCTCTTAGATTATTTGAGCAAGTTTGGACAGAGATGAAGAAGGGGTTGCGTGGTTGTCGGAGATGGTGGTTTGCACGGAATGAGTCAACTCTCCTCTTCGACATGAAGAAGAAGGGGTTGCGTGGTTGTCGGAGATGGTGGTTTGCTTTCACAGCATGGCAGTGGTGCAGATAATTTGAAGATGATGTATGACGACTATGGATAATATGTTAGTAATAAATGAATATTTTACATAATTGTAATGAATATTGTGTTTGTTTTGTGAAAGCGGTTGGTATATTTTGTGCTGATAAATACTCCGTATTTGGTAAATACAAAACATGAACAAAAATATTCGAGAATATTTTATTTTTTAATTATCAATTAGGTAATGTAGCAAATCTTTAGTAGAGCACTACTCGGAAAGACCAAAATGGACTGGATGGGTAACCAACCTGCATTATAAAATTGACCGCGGGGAGAAGAGAACATGGTTTCCGGAGATCAGGGGAAGGCGAAGAAGGAAGAAGAAACTACCCCTTCTCCTCTCTCTGGTAATGGAACCCGAACCCGGATCCGGATCCATGGAAACCCCCGTCCCCATCAACCCCCACACCGCCGCCGCTTCATCCCCACCGCTTATTGAAGAAGAAGAAGATGATGATGATGATCACCATCCCGATTCCTCCCCCGTCGGATCCCCTGATCTTCCCCGCCCATCCTACGATCAAGTTCAACCCTCTCCAGACGCTGCTGCATCCAGCGATGATCTTCGCCTCAACATTATCAAGCAGGCAAATACTCATATCAATTTTAACTCTATCGCGGAGTTCTACTATTTTTTTTCCCTCTGTGATTGTTATGAATGTTAATGAGTTGACTGGCAAAGACTGCTCGGGACTTGATGAGTTTCTCTGCTTTAGTTTGAATGATTTCTAATTGATACTCCTATTTGACTTGCTAGTGAGTGGATTATCTTATACTTTACTGGTGTTATATGATGCTCTGCGGTATCATCAATTCACAGGCTAACCTCTCATTTCAATTGTACGTTACTACACCTAAAATAGGAATTCAATAGACTTCAGGTATCTATGACATTTGAAAGAGAAAAAAACAGGGAAGGAATAGAGAAGAATTATCCAATGGATTCGATACAAAATGTGGAGTAATGGGTAAACATGGTTTTTGCAAGTCTTAAATGGAGAGAAACTATAATGAACTTGACGGGTAGTTGTTTTTTTTGGAGAGGACAAAATCTGCGGTCTTCGGTTGGCTTCAAGTACTCTCTCTGAACGAAATTAAGCATCTAATTAACTTTTTCATCTCACCACATGGTTGTTGATCGTTTTTAATGGTGGTGTGGTGTGTTTAATTAAATCTCATTTGGGAACATATTTTGACTGGCCCAAAGGGGAGAAACAATTACTAATCTCAGACATAATAGCTTTTTTTATCTCACCACTCTAATTTCAAATCTCATTGTTCTATCAAAGGGGGCTAGATCCCCATGGCCTGTATTTTGCACCTTTTTGGTGTAGTTTTTACAATAGCAACAACCCAATATAGTCCCAATTCCATTAGGATTTGGGCGTCAATCCTCATGATGTACTCTCTTTTTATGTTGAAATAATTTAAATTTATCGAGTTAATTTGTGCTCCCTCCGGACCAAAAAGAATGCCACAGTTACTATTTTGGCTTCTCGATAACTTTTGTTTGTTTACTCATTTTGGTTGACCATTTGATAAAATAAAATATTCTTCTCGCATCTTGTTTTTAATGTTTTATAGAACTTTTGATGTACTTTTGAATGATATAATTTGTACCTTTTATTTCTACTCCAATTTGTAAATAAAATGATGTTAAAAGAGATGAAATTTTGCACGTTGTTCGAAATGTTGTAAACAGTTTGGGACAGAGGCAGTATTTTTCATTTATCAATATGGTTGGTCTTCCAGGTGGAGTATTACTTCAGTGATGAAAATTTGCCAACTGATAAGTTTCTTCTGAAATATGTGACCAGCAACGAGGAAGGATTTGGTAAGTATCCTGAGGAAGGATCTTTGACTTTTTGTCCATATTTATTGAATGTTTAGACTCTCGAATAGGGGCATAAAGTTTTCTATTTTTCTTCATAGATTAGTGATCTCAATTGTTTTCTTTGTTTGGAATTTAAAGAGTAATGGTCTGTATCGCAGTTCCTCTCAAAGTTATTGCTTCCTTTAAAAAGCTGAAGAAACTGACCAAAGAGATTCCACTTATTGCGACTGCACTCAAGGAATCTTCTCTTTTGGTAAGCATCCCAATTCTTGAAAAGCCTTCATTTCAATTATTCTCTCTATTTTTCCTGCAAAATTGTCTTATATCTCTTGGCAGTTTAAGCATTTATTGGAGACTACCATTGTACCATTTCTTCCATCCACATGCCCATTATTTTCTAATATTCCTTCTTTATCTCTAATCTATATAAAGTTTCTCTGTTTAAAATAAAAGGATGCATAGGACAGAAGTCAGGGAAATGATTTTGATAAGCTGTTTGGTCATGTTGTGAGATTTGCTTACCAGGGTGAGGACTTCCGGGGGCGACTCTGAGTCTTTCTCGGTAGGGATGGGGTAGCACCAGGGGTCTGCCCTTAGCCCTTTTTTGTTCGCCTTGATGATGGACGTCCTAACCCAAGCTGTTCAAGAAGGAGTCCCATGGTGCATGCTTTTTGCGGATGATATTGTGCTTTTCGATGACACACGCGAGGGACTTAACGATAAGTTGGAACTATGGCGCCTTGCCCTTGAGACTAAAGGATTCAGAATAAGTAGGAACAAGACTGAATACATGGAATGTCGTTTCAGCGGCCGGGAAACAGAATCAGAAGTGGAAGTTAGGATTGACTCTCACCTAGTACCTAAGGTAGACAGGTTTCGATATCTTGGCTCGGTGATCCAGGCTGATGGGGAGTTAGATGGGGATGTTGGACACCGTGTTGGAGTGGCTTGGTCAAAATGGCGGTTAGCCTTAGGGGTGTTGTGTGATCTGAAGATCTCACCCAGGATGAAAGGTAAGTTCTATCGATCCGTAGTCAGACCAGCTATGTTGTATGGTGCAGAGTGTTGGGCGGTTAAGAAAACTCATGTGCGTCGTCTGCATGCGGCGGAGATGCGGATGTTAAGATGGATGTGTGGAAAGACAAGGTTGGATAGGATTTCGAACGAAGTTATCCGACATCAAGTAGGCATGGCTCCGGTGGAAGATAAGTTGCGGGAAGCGAGGTTGAGATGGTTTGGTCATGTGAGACGGCGGAATGCTAACGCCCCTGTACGGAGATGCGAGAGGATTACGATTATCGGGGGAAGTAGGGGAAGGGGTAGACCTAGGAAGAATTGGAAGGAGGTGATTAGGCAGGATTTAGGACTTCTTACCCTGACTGAGTATATGGCCTTAGATAGGAACCTTTGGAGAACTAGGATTAGAGTAGCTGGATAGGAGCTCGGTGCTCTGTAGAGGTTGTTTGTAGTGTGCTGTGTTTGATTGGAATCTTTTGCTATTGCTTGTACTTGTTGCTTGAACTTGGTGCTTTACCCGTATTATACTGTGTTCCCTTCCATAATTTTGTGCAGGTTGAGCCGGGGGTCTCTTGGAAACAGCCTCCCTACTTCCGAGTAGGAGCAAGGTTTGCGTACACACACCCTCCCCAGACCCTACTGTAGTGGGATTCAACTGGGTTGTTGTTGTTGGCTGTTCTATGCTGTGCATTTGCCTCTATCTGACTAATGAACAACGAGAAAAGAGAAATTTGTAAAAAAGAACAAAAAAGTTTCTTTGAATTTATTGTTTTCTTCTAGGCTTTTCCCAATTTAACATGATGCCTTTAAGTCTGCCAATGACTTGAAACAAGTGAAGGCTAGGGCTTACTAGAACTTGAGTTGAAGACTTGAAAAGAGCATCCCATTGTGTCCACTCTACTGAATTTCCTTTTGTGTATCACCAGGTTGTCAGTTCTGATGAGAAAGAGGTAAGGAGACTAAATCCTCTCCCATACATTGGAGTTAGGGATCCCCAGGTATTTTTCTTGTTCTCTGGCCTTATTTTAAATAAGCACAGGAATTGCTCTTAGAGAATAAAAGTATCTTTTCATGAACTCTTTGTTTTAGCTATGCTCCGTATTGGTAGAGAATTTACCATCAGATCATTCAGTGAAGGCTCTTAGGCAACTATTTAGCCCAGCTGGACAGTGAGCATCTATCCTTTTTTACTCCCCTACCCAGCATGTGTTTGCTTTATTATTTGATTTATCGATGTCTAAATGCTTCGTTTCTTTACTTTCTAGCATCAAGCACATCAGCATTCGCGAACCTCATATTGAAAGAAATCCTAGAAAGTGTACGATTGCAGAGAAGCTGCTTAGCGGCAAGGTATGGATTAATATAACCACAGTTAGAATTTCCAAATTCTTTCTTGAACCTAATTGGTACTGAACTACTGATGGTTGTATGACCATCCTTGCTTTGCATTGGTACATGAATATGTGTATGCTGTGCAATATAAGAATGTTCTAATCCATATAATTCATGTAAATGCCTTTTTATTGTTTAATATCTGGGATTTTCTGTGTCCTTTTTCCCGGGAATGGTCATCCTGTAAACGTTTTGTAGTAGGTGCACAAAAACTTTAAAGTAAAAATATAAGACAGTGTTTGCAGTTTGTTTTTATTTGATTGAGTCGCTCTTTTTGTTCGCATCCTACATATTTTAGGTAATACTAACCTTTGATTTTCATGCAGCTGCATGCTGTTGTGGAATATGACACTGTGGAAGCTGCTGAAAAAGCTGTGAGTTGAAGCACCATCTAGTAGTTTCTGCATGATCATATTACATTAACTGGGTGGCTTTTTTTCTTTTCTTCTAATGTTAATTTGGTGCAGGTGGCCACTTTGAATGATGAAAAAGATTGGAGATTCGGTTTGAGGGTGAAACTTCTAAAGAAAGAGGTAATTAGTTTAGTTCGACTACTTTTTGTTCCATCTCAGTTTCCCTCTTCAAAATTGTATGCACAAGTGACTTTTTACAATGTCTTCATCTCCTCAGATCAAGCGTGGACAGAAAAAGAAAGTCTGGAGGGAATCAGACTCTGATAGGCATGCTTGTGGTCAATCATCTGATCAGGCTGTGGATGAGGAGAACTGCCATCCCAGTGAGCACCATGGTGATTCACATCAGGAAAAGGTTAGTAGTCTCACTGCTTTCTAGCAGGGCCTGTCCAAATTTTTTCTAGGCCCTGTGTAAAATTAAAATTAGGCCTTTACCGCTTGTAATATGTCTGTTACTTCTAAATTTTTAGAATAATTTAGAAGTGACCGTATAAGAATTTTCTAGGATGTAAACCTCTACTACACTACTATAAAGCCACAATATTTTTGCAATAAATCAAATAGTTACAAATTCAAAAAAATGATTATTTTAAAGGAAAAAATATACACTTTTTTATTACAGTTAGTTGCATATCCAACACATATTGAAGTGAATGACTATGTTTGATAATGAACTCCACATGCATTTTCTTGGGGCCTAAAATTCAGGGGCCCCTGTTTGGCTGCATATATCCGACGCCCTCAGGGTCACCAATGCTTTCAAGACATTGAAAGTGAAGGTTGACTTATTGGATTGAAATTTGAAATGGCTTTAAGATAGTTCCACTTTGTGCATGGAAGGTTAAACTCTTGTTCCTTTAGCTGAGTATAATTTGTCAGAACTGCTATAAATAGTTGAAGCACTGAAGAAGACTTCATATGTTGATGGCAAACTAAATGCAATGAACCCTTTTTCGGTCTAATTAAATCATCAAAATATTGTCCTTGAAAAAAACCTTTGCCGGTTTACTTTCAAGTAGGAGTAAGTCATGCATCCTCCCCAGACCTTACTGTCTTGTGGGATTCTACTGGGTTTGTTGTTTGCCTAAATCAAGATTCGTTTCAAATGATCTCTATTTCTTCTGCCTGATTCACTGTTTCTCTTATCAGGATGGTTAATGATTTGTTTTGTTTCTTTAATATGTTAATGATTTATTTTGTTTCTTTAATATGTTAATGATTTGTTTTGTTTCTTTAATATGTTAATGATTTGTTTTATTTTAGTTTGTTTATGTGTATTTGAATTTGGGAATTCTGTTTACTTTAGTGTTCGTTATTTGGAATACAGGATGGAGACCATTTACCAAAGGAGACCACTGGGGAGCACGCACCACCGGAAAGAAATGGGCATTCGGGCCGGACCCGAGGACGTGGAAGGAGGCAGAAACATGGAACAAATGTACAAGGTAATCCATTGTCAACATACTCCTGCGGCTATCCTATTTATAATATCATAAACCTCTTACTCCATCACTTCCGCAATAATTATCTCTCTTTTTCCTTTTTTCCATCTAAAAAAATGTCACATTCCCTCTAATGGAAAGAACACGCGGTTTTGAACATTTCTCTCTCAGCAACAATAACAAACCCAGCAGGATCCCGTACATACGTGGATCTTACTCCCACTTGGAAGTATATAAGTTTCCAAGAGATTTCAACCATTCACTTTTCATTTTTTTGAACATTTTTCTTAAGTTTTGTGAAAGCGACAAAGTGAGACCATTTATTGACACAGTTGCTCATCTTATAATTCTTTATTTTAAAATGATTTGCAGCCCATGGAATGCATCCATCTGCTCTTGGTACTGAACCCTCAAAACCACCGCCTGGTCCCAGAATGCCCGACGGGACTAGAGGATTCGCTATGGGGAGAGGGCGGCCTCTGCCTTCAAATCCGGTGTGACGTGGTCCTCTTCCATGGGCTTTGATTATGGTTCGGGTGGGGGTGGGGTTGGGGGGGGGGGGGTTATCCCTTTGCTCTGTAATGGAGTTTTTTTGGAATTAATCCTTCATAGTTTGTGATGGTGTACTTGTATGTACTATGGTCCTATGAATGTTTCCTCTATGTTGATGAGCCTTTACGAATTTGTAGGGCAATTCTGTTGTTGGCTCTAAGTTCACTTGGGAAAGAGGGAGTTTTTTTTATTTCTAAATGACAAATATTATGTGGAGTACTTTAAATACGGAGTATATAAAATGTGCATTAAATTGTAATGTTTTGTTTCACTTGCATATAGGAGAGAATTTCCATCATCTCTGATGTTTCACTATTTTTAACGTTTTTGGTTATTTTTTTAAACATTTTTAATTTTTTTACAAAGTAATTGTAACTCCGATGATTTTTTCACGTCAAATTTCGTTCATTTTTATTTTCAATTTTCGTTGTTCATTTGATAAAATAATATAATCGTGTCACTTCTTATTTTGTAGAGTTTTTGTAGTTTTTTATATGTAAATTTTATTTTTAATTCAATCCTAATTTTCAAATAAGTTGGCTAAAAGTAATTTTAGTCAAATATTGTAAATTGAAACAGACAGTTTAATTTGAGATATAGAGAATTTTTTTGCACACAAATATTTTATTATAATGTAATACGAGTACTTATTTATACATTCTCAGATAAAGAGGCATCATTATGTCGTTGAATGATATCGTCTTTGGCAACTACGGAGTATTTTTTGTTAACAAATGTTTGGTTCACAAATAAAATAGTTATAAATCTCACAAATTCACTATTTATGAACTTCAATCAAAAAAATAAAGTATTCTAAAATAATTTTAAAATAAGAATTTAAAGCATAAATGATAAGTTTCTATGTTTTGTGAACTTTTTTTTGTAAACATAGTAATGTTTTGTTTAATTTTTAAAATTTTTATTGATTACATTTATCTGATTTTAATTAGATGGACTCAATTGAAATTCTTGGAAGAAGTTTAGAATTTCAAAAACTTGCTTCCAGATTTTTTTTTAGATCCTCAATCACATGATTTCAGATCATGAGAATGTTATAACCAAAATCGCTCTCAAGTATGCCTTTTTTTGTGCAAAAATGTTAGTTAGGTTAGGTGAGAAGATATATGTTACAACCCTATGTATCTAGGGATAGGTACATCTGGGGTAATACTTATTCTGAAGTAGTATAGTACTCATTCTTGCACAAATATAATTAGCGTGGTACTCATTCTAAAATAATGCAATATTCAACTCATTTTCACACATTAGTTCAATATAATTATGATATTCATTTACAAATAATGTAGTGTTCATTTTGAAACAAAACAATACTCAATCTTAAATAACTTAGTATTCATTTTCATGTAAAATACAATTAATACCATTAATAATTTCTTGCTTTTGGGTACAACTGGATGTATAATAATTTGGCCGTGTTAGGTAAGAAGGTATATGTTACAGCCGGATGTACCTAGGGATAGGTGCATCTGGGATAATACTCATTCTGAAGTAGTATAGTATCCGTTCTTGCACAAATATAATTAGTGTGGTACTCATTCTAAAATAATGCAGTACTCAACTCATTTTCACACATTAGTTCAATATAATTATAATATTCATTTACAAATAATGTAGTGTTCATTTTGAAACAAAATAATACTCAATCTCAAATAACTTAGTATTCATTTTTATGTAAAATAAAATTCATATCATTAACAATTTCTTGCTTTTGGGTACAACTGGATGTATAATATAATTTACCTGTGTTAGGTGAAAAGGTATATGTTACAACCGGATGTACCTAGGGATAGGTACATCCAGGGTAATACTTATTCTAAAGTAGTATAGTATCCATTCTTGCACAAATATAATAAACTTGGTATTAGCTCATTCTAAAATAATGCAGTACTCAACTCATTTTCACGCATTAGTTCAATATAATTATAATATTCATTTACAAATAATGTAGTGTTCATTTTGAAACAAAATAATACTCAATTTCAAATAAATTAATATTCATTTTTATGTAAAATAAACTTTATACCATTAATGATTTCTTGTTTTTGGGTACAACTCACTACAACTATATTTTTAATTTGCTTAGGTGGAACGGTTATGGTAGGACTGGCTTATTTTACATTTTTTAATGGGATTATGCTATGTGCCCAAGGGTTGTATCCCAATTTGTACCCCGCAGTTTTGCATCAATACTTTCTGTTAGTGTCCAACATTTGTGTATGTGTGAACCATTTTAGCATGGTTCTTTTTAACGTGATCTTTGTAAACTCTTGATTTCTGAGATCAGATTTTCCGGCAGCCCATCGCCGGCGATATGCTATCTCGCGCTTTGTATGTTTCGAATCTGGAAACCAATTTCTCACGCCAATGCTTACCTCAATCTTCTAAAGGCTATTCTCGCTCGAAGCCTCCGCGTTTCTTCGTTATGTTTCCCCCAGAAAGCTTCAGGGTTGGCGCTCATAAAGATCTGAAGGTGATGCGCATAATCCGGCTGCATTGGCGTGCTTCTCTGTATTTGCTCGATACGATAATTGAGTTTAATTGATTGATTTTATGCGTGCTATGAACAGATTTCCAGAGTCAATCCACAGTTCCTTGGATTTCGTTTGCAGCGTGGGCTTGTGCCTGTTCGCTTGATGGATGGGGTAATTTTTTCTTATTCTAATACTCCTTTTACGGTTTAGGACGTCTGAATGTTGTTAATTTCGATTCCATTTCCTTCAACAAAATAGAATTAACACGGAGGATTTAAAAATCACATCAAAAGTTCTATAAGACAACTAGACAAGAGGTGGCTTGGCTATTTTATGTTATCAAATGTTTAATAAATATCTGTAAAGAATGGAGATATAGTTCGACCATCTAAATGGTAATGTGGAACCTTATTTTGGAAATGAGAGTACTCCACGTATAAGTTCTTTTTCATTGGACCAAATAAGGGGCTGTTTGTTTCAGCCTCTTAATGGTTCAGATGTCTGAATGGTTCAGCACTTAATGGTTCAGACTGTTTGTTTCAACCTCTTAATGGTTCAGATGTCTGAATGGTTAAGAGATTTGCCTCTGAATGGTTAAGTATTATACAGAGTCTGAATGGTTAATACCTCTTATCTGAATTGATCAGACATTTGCCTCTGAATAGTTAAGCAATATACTAGCTCTTAATGGTTCTCTTAATGGTTCAGACCTCTTACTGGTTCAGCACTTACCTATTCAGAAGTTGCCAAACAGCCCCTAAGGGTACTTCAAATTGGTGGTTAAAATATTAGCTTGTGAATGGACTAAAAATGTAGAAGATATAAGAGGAATATTAGTCATTGTTTGTTAAAATGCAATGAAATAAAGTCTAATGCAATAGTAACTTCAAATTACACTAAAACATTTACTCAATTTGTCCGGCTATGGTTGTCCACTTTGTAAAGTATCTATACTTAAAGAGTGAGAGTTAAATGTCAAGTAGGTCTTCTTAATGAGTTTATCATTCATCAATATCAACAATGCTTACATATTATTCATAGGGTATTTTAGATACTCCACCATAATTTTTTTGCTAAACATAAAAAGTGGACGGCTAATTTAGGACACAAATGGGAAAGTAGTGAGCTACATCCGGGCAGAGGGAGTATTTGATTACACAAGAAGTATATTACATGTAGTTACAGGCTATTACTTTTGAGGGAAAAACTCATTCTTGTCTATGTATCTTTGCTATTGTGCCAAAATGAAAAATATGAACTTCTCTCTCCAATTGAAGCCTAAAACATGAAAAACGTAATTGAGTTAATAATGCACACACCTTTGGTCTGGTTAGAAAACTAAAGTCATTTTGATAACTAAAGTCATTTTGATTTTCCCTTATTCTCCATATGAACCTATGTCTTTCTAGGTGATATTTAAGTAAATAATGTTAGAGTAAAACTTTTCCTCGTGTACTACCACAAGCTTGAGCTTTGGGTTGAGTTGGTTCTTTAACAAATGATAGTCAAACTGAGAACTGTTGAATTATATTATAGGTAATATAATTTGTTAGTTTCAAATGTCAGATAGGTTGAGAAGCAGGTAATAAAATCTGTTATATGATAAATCTTGTAAATATACAGGGCACTGATTTCTCTTCATTTGATGATTGGGGAGAGAGTGAAGGGACTGCTGGATATGCAATCTCATCAAGTGATGGTGAAGAAAGCGATGAAGAAACTATGTTAGAAACGATAACAGATCTTGACTTGCCTACTACAAGGGAGAGATTTTCTCGTGATGACTCCATAACATTAGCTGCTCACAGATTGGCAATGCTAGGCAGAGCACGCCGAAGAGAGAAGTATTGTCACTTTTCCTGTATATCAAATACATTTTCATTTTGTTTTCCCAGTTTCTGATATTCTTTGCTGAAATAATCTTACTTGGGTAGAATGTGGATGCCTTGTGTGCATAGTTGTTGGTGAATTTACTAGTGGACAGTTTTCCAGAGATTGTTAGGGTATGTTTGGATCTCGGAAAATGCTATGGGAAAGGAATAGAAGTGCTAAGGAAAGTTATTTTGTTATGTTTGGTTTTAACTCAGATAATGCAAAGAAAATGAAGTATGATTACTCCCTTCATGTCATATAAAGAGTCATGTTTCAGCCACAACCCTTTCCTCTATGTTTCCAGCCTATATTTTATCTTCTTTTACATTTTCTTTCCATTCAAATGTCCTCGATGTTTTCATACAATATTCTTTCCCAAATCTTTTTGGGACTCAAACGGACTCTTAGATAATAGGAATTGACTTTGGCAAGGATTTGTGCAGGATTTTTCATGGAGTCCTAAACAATATTGGTCTAGTGACATTCTCAACATTCCTGCTCTTCCTAGCAGATTTGTGTGCTTGGAGAATAGTCAGATTACCATTAGCACCTTTTTATATGATGCGCCCTTTTCTCACATCTGCAGTTGCAGTGTCTTGTGTCGGATATTTATGTGTTCCATTGTTTCGTACTTTAAGACTTCGTTCTCTGATAAGGAGAGAAGTTCCTGCTCGTGAACAGTCTGCTAAGAGAGGCACCCCTACAATGGGAGGATTATATTTCATACCCATTGGTGTACTTGTTGCAGACATTATACTTGGGTTTTCTTCAGTGGAGGTTTTGGGAGCATCTGCAGCAACTCTTGCATTTGCCACAATCGGATTTCTTGATGATTTAGTTCACCTCAAGACTAACAGCCAGGGTTTATCTGCTTGGATTAAAATTCCCTTTGAGGTGAGTGGTTATCCTTTTCATAAACCCTTTTTTTCAAGAGGCAATTTGCCTTTACACACAACAAAACCCAGAATAAACCAAATCACAACTCCATCGAGTTTTTTTTTTGGGGGGGGGGGATCAAGATGTACTAAGTTTTCTCCTTTCAAAAAACAGAGAGGCTGCTACCCAAAACTTCACTGAAAGTAACTTTAATGTATCATTTTGATTTGGTCCCATATTTAACTGAGGCTAAAACATAAAACATTGTCAATAATGTTCTTTTAGCTCCTTTGACAATGGACATAACTTTTTGCCTAAACTTTGAGGATTAATAGTTGTTTTATTTTACACAGGTAGCTATAGGGATATGGTTCTCCTTTTGGTTAAATGCCACAGATATATCATCCCCTTACAGCATGTATACACTCTTGTAACCATTTGATCAACCTTTTTTCTGATGCTATTCATGGTAACTCACATATCTATCCTTGTATGACTCGTCAAGATGACAACTAGTTTTCTAATATTTGGAGTTTCTTCAGACAAGATGCCATGTCTGTCATTAAAAACATCATGTGCAGTGTCCCCTGCATTTCAGATGGATGACTTTTAACTTTTGGTGGTATGCAGGAAATCAGTGGTTCCTCTGCCTGCTCCCATTGGGCTTGTCTGCATAGGAAAGTTCTATCCAATTTTGACTTCATTTTGCTTTACTTCCATGGTAAATGGAGTTGATCTTACAGATGATCTTGATGGATTGGCTGGTGGAACTGCTGCATTAGCATTTATTGGAATGTCGATAGTTGTCCTTCCACTATGCCCTGGTTAGTATATGAGTTACTACAAATCAGTATGCTGTCTAAAGTTGCCTGTTAATATCTTAGGAACTGTTTCCTAATATTTGGTATTTTTGTTTTACGTTACAGTTATCTGTTTTCATTTTCTTGTGTTTTCAAATGTCTAAAGGATAATTACGTTTAGTAAGCATATCTTTGTATACTATGGAGTAGTATTTATTATAAAAATATATGAATTTTATAAGAATTATGAATGTTCTATAAATAGTGTCAAAATCGGGTACATTTATTTTTGAAAACATTGAAAGCATCAAATTCATGTTTCCAAACTTCTGTTTTTGTTTTCAGAAACTTAAAATGATAACAATATAGGCAAACCTTGTTAGTGTTTGCATTTTGAAAAAAAGTGAATGAAAAAACGTAAGAAGACATGTTGAGTTTTAATTTGATTTTATCATGCATAACATATGAATTATAAAATAATACGGAGTACAGAACGTCTGCGTGAACATTTTACTGCAATTAATAGTATTTCTTATAGCTGCTAATGAATGTGAGAACTAACCCCTAAACCCTTAGATCTTGCTGTATTTGGAGCATCAATCGCTGGCGCTTGTGTTGGTTTTCTTATGCATAATCGATACAGAGCTTCAATAATCATGGGTGACACGGGAGCACTGGCCTTAGGAGGAGCCCTAGCTTCCATGGCTTCTGTTACTGGACAGTTCTTCCCATTGTTCATTGTTTCTGGGATCTTTGTTGTGGAAGCACTCTCTCTTGTGCTACAGGTACGACAAGTGGAACTCGTTGATATCCTTCAATGCAAAGGGTATGTTTGGTTGGAGGGTAGGGAGAATGATTCTCTCCCCTTGTTTGGTTAGAAGTATATTTTTAACGTGAGAACCAAAATTTGCCTTCTCCCGGCGAGATCTAAAAAAATGCTTTGAGCTAAACAAGATAAGAGGAAGAATCATTTTCTCTTTTTCCCCTCCAACCAAACACACACATCTAAGGTTGGTCGTGTTCGGAGGAGGGGGGATGTTCCCCTTCCCTCGTGCGGCACAATTTTCCTTCCCCCCTCTCCCTCCCCCTCTAATTTCAGCTCCCTCCATTGTCAGGGGGTGCAATGGAACTGATGAACCAAAATTGTCTCCTATTACCATTGCATCCCAATACAAAAAATGGAACACACTCATTGTGTGTCCTCAGTTCCCTTACATCCCTTCTATCAAGGGCATATTAGTATTAGTTATTATCTTGCCTCCCTCCCTCTCTTTAACCAAACAACTCTCTGGAACCAAACAAGGGGTTATTTAAAACTCCACCCTTCTCCCATCCATTTAAGGAAAATGCTACTTTAACCCCAACTCCCCAAGTATGACACCACCAGATATAAATTACTTAACTGACACTTAAACGAACGACAAGGTTTTAATGATATACATATTATACACATCCTATATGAAACAACTAACATCCGAAGGGTATTGCAATGTGTTTATCAGGTATCCTTCTCCAGGGCAAGCCAAAAGTTACCCGGAAAAGGAAGGCCCTTGCTTCTTCAGACGGCACCATTTCATCGCCACCTCAAAATGCGTGGCTTGGGAGAACCTGCTATTGTGGCTGGAGCCTACGCCATTTCATGCGTCCTAGTCTTATGTGCGGGATATGTTGGCCTTATCTCAGTGTAGTACCCCAAGCTGGTAAATATGATCTCTTCGGGTTTTTTCTTTAAATCTATGCTTTGGTTTGTTTGGGTAGCTAATTACTCTGTTGTCCGATTTCTTATTTTCGTTTGTCCGGAATTAGTTGTCCATTTTTATACGAGTATTCAATAAAGAAATTATGTTGAATTGTCTAAAATATTCTAGAATGAGTGATGAACTTATTTGAAAGATTTATTTGACATTTTAAACTTATTTTTCAAAAACAAGTCTTTTAAGAAAGGGTGCTAACTAAATCCAAATAGAGGGAGTAATAATTACTCTTTATATGAATACATAGTGATGGAACCAGGGTGTTTTACTAGATTGCGTACATTCTTGGCCATGACCACAATAGAGTTATAATTACACTGGATTTGTTATTGGTTTACTCCCATTGTCCAAAATTAAGAACTGTGTATCCTATGAAATTTATTCATTTTCTTTACTTATTTTAGCTAGTCATTTAATAAAATAATGTAGTCATATTACCATTTGTTTTCTAGAGCTTTTGATGTTGTTTTAAATATTTAAGTTAATTTTTTAATCCCATCCCAATTGTTTTATAAATTGATTTAAAAAATAACCTTAGTCAAATATCGTAAATTGAAATATGCCATCGAAAATGGAACAAAAGATGGAGATAGTTATAGCTTTGGGCAGGGGTGGATGCACTTGGTCACTATTGGTGGGACGGCCCCTAGTGTTGACTCTTTTAAATATTTGAGGTTGGACTTAGCACTTGTAGTAAAACATAGTGACTTTTTCAATATAGTATCACTGGTCATTGTCCACTAGACATTTCTCAAGTAAATATCCACTGCCACTGGACATTGTTCAAACTACATGTCCATCATCACTGGGCATTGTTCCTGCTACTAGACGTTATCCAAGTACTATTTAGAAAATAAAAAGGTCTAAGTACTATATTGAGAAATGACATCTGTTTAGTATAATTTAGTGCAAATTTCTCTATTTTCATTCATAATTTGATAAAATAAAAGATTCTTATCACTTTTTGTTTCATAGAATTTTTTTATCTACTTTTAAACGCTGTAATTTACTCCCTCCGTCATATAATGATCTTCTCGGTTATGTTTACGAAGTTTGACCGACTTTATTTTTAATTCAATTTATTTGATTGTAGGTGTAAAATTAAAAAAATAAAATTTATATATTTAAAAACTACATCAAAAGTTCTACAAAACAAGTGGTGACAAGACTATATTATTTTATCAAATACCTAATGAAAATACGTAAAGAAAGTGATTAAAGTTTGACCGTGTGAATAGTAAGTGGGAAGAACATTTCAGGACGGAGGGAGTATATATTTTTTTCCTGCACTAATATGTAATTACAATAATTTTAAAGAAGATAAAATTTTACATGTTATTCGAAGTGTAACATCTAATATGGGACAAAGACTCAGAGAGAGTTGGTGTAGGCCTAGGTTCAACTATTTTTCAAATTGAGGTAGGGAAGGCACTAGACAATTGGTTGTTTATACTTCTACCGCCCAACTTATTTTCATTAAGAGATTCATAAATCTACATGACTGATGATATGAAGCCAACCCTATTTTAACGGGGAAAAAAATACGGAGTACAAACCAAACACCCCAATACTATTGACTCAATTTCATATGTTTTTATGAGAAAATTGTTTGGCATTTTACTATACAAAGAAGTATTAACTTTTTGGACACTTGAGACACTTATTATAAAGAATGGGAAAGAAATTTGTTATTGATATGTTGGAAATAAAATGATGAAAAATAAGCACAAGATGGAAGTTGCAAAAAGAATATGGTAGGTGTCTTGGTGGTTTCATTCCATAAGACCATAACACTTCTTACAAAAGTAGACCCTTGGGCATGGCCAAAGATCTAAAGAGCTTACAACATTTGGTGTAACCGAGGGTGCACCCTGCCTTTCTTCTGACCTCGGATTCGAATATTAGAACCTGAAAAAAACAACTCTATTATATTGTAGCATCACCGGTTACAATTGTACAAGATATGATTGCTTAGTTTCCTTAACACCCGGCCCTTAGGGGTGAGCATCGGGTCGGTTCGGTAGGTTTCGAGCCAAAAAGTAAACTATACATTTTTTGTTATTTGTATAAATTGACTTTCAAAAGTATAAATTTTTTGTTATTTTTATTTTAATTATTAGTGATATTATTTGTTATCTGAATTTCTTTTTTACACTTTTGGGCCGTTTTTTCTTTTTCAAAATGTAGTTCTCTTGTGGTTTTAATAATGTAGTACTCCCCACCCCCAATCCATTTTTATATTTTAGATTAAAATATTGATGTTTACCTTATATAAATTTAGATTAAAAAACATTATATGTAACTATTTTATCCATAATTGTTTTAAATATTTTAAAATATTGATGCTTTCTTATTTTATCATGTAGATTAATATACAAAAAATGGAATTATTCATAATAAAAAGTTGACGAAAAAATAATAATGAGTGTGAATCATAAAAATAGTGAGATGAAAAAAACGAAATAATTTAGAAACTATAGTTATGAACATAATAGTTGTAATAATAGTTGTAATAATAATAATAATAATAATATATTGTTTTTAGAGTGATTTATCGGAAAGTAGAAAGAGTTTGAAGAAAATAAAAATAGTTGGAAGAAACTGGAAGGAACTAGAAGGAACTGGAAGAAATTAGAAAAAAATGGAGGAAACTGGAAGTTAAGAGTTCAAGCTCTAAAGACCAAACTCTAAATGAGTAAACTTTTATCTACTTTGTAAATATATTTTCATTACTTATTTGATAAAATAAAATAGTCTTGTCACATCTCATTTTATTGGTCTTTTGATTTAATTTTTAAAATCAAATTCGTATATTTTATGGAGTATTTTTAAAGTGATATTTGCACTAAATAGGACTAAAACATAATGAATTTCCTAATCTAGGACTTAAACTTTTTTATTCCCTAAATAAGACTTAATAATGACCTATTTGCACTAAATAACACTAAAATTTAAGTCATTTCCTTAAATAGCACTTAAATTGTTTTATTCCTTAAATAGCACTTAATAATGTCCATAATGTCCTGTGATGGCAAATATTTGCTTGAATAATGACTAGTGCATAATGACTAAAAGTGTTACATTAGGAAGAAAAACACATGTGGTGCTATTTAGAAAAAGTCATTATGTTTTAGTACTATTTAAATAAATTTCTCAATTTTTAAATCCTACAAACAGCAAGAAAGAATTAGTTTTAAGAACACAATATATAACATCACCAATGACTACCCAATATTATTTCAAAAAAATAAAATCTAGGGGGGTGGGTGTACACAGATCCTAATAATTAAAAAAAGTTTTAAATAAAAAGGATGTATCTCATCTCTGAGGATCTTGTCGAACGGTTATACTTCCTCCGTCCCAAAAAGTCTTTCATGTTTCATTTTTTGCGCATCCCATAAAACACTTCTATCCCGCCTTGAATGCCAAAAAAACTTTCAAAATAACTTCTACCCACAATATAGAAGAAATGTTGTAAATTTTAGGCATTTTAGATGTCGGTAGAAGTGTTTTATGGGATGCGCAAAAAATGAAACATGAAAGACTTTTTGGGACAGAGGGAGTAGAAGGGAGGTGAATTAGACTCGTTTAAAGAATACAAGTAAATGTTTTCGGAAGGCACTACTGAAGAGTTGTAGCTCATCATTAGTTAGACTTTATGAAAAATAAAATTTTCTCTCAACTTTGAATGTCTTTTTGCAAAGGATGAGCTCCTATCTCACTGCTCACGCAATTCCTTAAACTCGATCCGACAATCCTTTAGAAATAGATTAGACTTGATCACTGATTGGTATAAAAAAAATAGAATATACTATACATCTGGTACTTGCAGAGGTCTTATACTTAGTATAATTCAACATAGTTGTCAAGAGTTGAATTTGGAACGGTACTAATAATCTTTGCCAATGCAAATACGCAATTCTTGAGGCCAGCGTCGGGCACCCATCGTAGGTCGGAAGTTACATCTGGAACTGAGGCAGAAGTTATATATATAGAGCTAGTTGCATCTGGCACCCATTGCAGGTGGGAAGTAATATATAAGCTAAGGAGCTAATACTCCATTTAGCTTTTAATGTGTATCGTAAAAAGGATTGCATTTGAAGGATTGATGAATACTTGAAGGACTACTTATGGATTTTTGAAATTTGAAAGACTGAATTTGGAGATTATTGATTACTTGAAAGACTATTTATGAATTTTTAAAACTTGAAAGACCGATCGTGCATAATTGACAAAGGTTAAGGACAATGATGAATTTTAGCCTTTTAAAAAAGTAAATGAGAACTTGAACTAAGAACAAAGGAAGTATTATTTAAACTAATTATAACGGAACAAAGAGAAAGCAATTAGAATTGGAAAGTAAATATATCAACCAATTATGAAATTACACCATCAAATTTACCTGGTTAAAAAGATTTTTTTTCTTCTTTTGGACTATTCTCTACTTTTATATCATTTTTCATGCTCTCAAACTCTAGAAGAAAAATAAAAACAAATATAATTTTTCAATTTTTAGATCACGCACAATTTTTTAGATAGAGAAATACATATAAGGGACGACGGTTGTTACACACTGCATGCTTATAATTTTTTTGAAAGAAAAAGAGTGATAAAGGAAGGATATGCCGTGATTTGTGGTGGTTGACAATCAATAATGAAGACCGGCGTTGGCGCATTCGAAAGAAAAGAGCTAGGTTTTTTAAAACATCTCTTATTATATATGAAGACCGAAAATATAATTATATTATTATTTAATTTTATTTTCAATTGTTAGCATAAATACTTATTATACTATTTAAACATCTCTTAATTAGGTTTCTCTTTGTATTCTCTGTGTATAGGGGTGAAATTTTTATTTTTCAATAAGACTATTTATTATCAAATTGTAATATCAATAGCCATTAAGGCTTCAAATATTTTCAAACTTCATACACTTTCTTCCAACTCCTTTATGATTCTTCCAACTCTTTCCAGTTTCTTCAATATATTATTATTATTATTATTATTATCATTATCTCATCAAAATATAAAATTGATTTAATGTCCCAATTTATTAAAGAGTTAGTTGTGTCCTAGATATAAACTTTAGTTGCCATTATA